GGAGAGCGGTTCACCATCCTGCCGCTGGCCAGTGAGTTGGCGACGGAGGTCGGCAAGCCACGCCTCGAACTCTAGAGGCTGGCCTTCAGCGTCGAAGCGAAGCTCCGCCGCCATCAGGAACAGTGCAGTGCGGTGCAGGGCAGTGCAGCAAGGTGGAGTGCGGTGCCGTGCGGTACAGTGCGGTGTAGGGCGGTGCAGTGCGGTGCCAGGCAGTACAGGGTGGTGCGGGGCGGTGCAGTGCGGGGCAGTACGGTGCAGGGCAGTGCAGGGCGGGAGGGGGGGGGGGGGGGGAAACCGTACCAGTGAGGAGGACCGGGGCCGGGGCAGGGACGAGCGCAGGGGCCGGGCCGGTGCAACGGGGCCGGGCGGGCGCGACGGGGCCAGGCGGGCGCGACGGGGCCGGGCTGGTGCGACGGGGCCGGGCGGGTGCGTCGGGGCCGGGCTGGTGCGACAGTGCCCGGCCGGTGCGACGGGGCCGGGCGAGCAGGACGGTGGCCCAGGAGGGGCGCACCGGGGCTGGGCGGGCGCGACGGGGCCGGACTAGTGCGACGGGGCCGGGCGGCTGCGACGGGGCCGGGCAGGGGGCGACGGGGCCGGGCGGGTGCAATGGGGCCGGGCGGGCGTGACGGGGCCGGGCTGGTGCGACGGGGCCGAGCTGGTGCGACGGGGCCGGGCTGTGGCGACGGGGCCAGGCGAGCGCGACGGGGCCTGAAGGCGTAACGGGGCCCAGGAGGGGGGGGGCTCGACGTGGCCCAGGAGGGGCGCTACGGGGCCCAGGAGGGGCACGACGGGGGCGCAGGAGGGGCGCTACAGGGGCCCAGGAGGGGCGCGACGGGGCCCAGGAGGGGCGCTACGAAGCCCAGGAGGGGCGCGAGAAGGCCCAGGAGGGGCGCTACGGGGCCTAGGAGGGGCGCGACGGGGCCTGGGAGGGGCGCGACGGGGCCCAGGAGGGGCGCTACAGGGCCCAGGGAGGGCACGACGGGGCCCAGGAGGGGCGCTACGGGGCCCAGGAGGGGCGCGACGGGGCCCAGGAGGGGCGCTACAGGGCCTAGGAGGGGCGCGACGGGGCCTGGGAGGGGCGCGACGGGGCCCAGGGAGGGCGCGACGGGGCCCAGGAGGGGCGCTACGGGGCCCAGGAGGGGCGCGACGGGGCCCAGGAGGGGCGCTACGGGGCCTAGGAGGGGCGCGACGGGGCCTGGGAGGGGCGCGACGGGGCCTGGAAGGGGCGCGACGGGGCCCAGGAGGGGCGCTACAGGGCCCAGGGAGGGCGCGACGGGGCCCAGGAGGGGCGCTACGGGGCCCAGGAGGGGCGCGACGGGGCCCAGGAGGGGCGCTACAGGGCCTAGGAGGGGCGCGACGGGGCCTGGGAGGGGCGCGACGGGGCCCAGTGAGGGGTGCGACGGGGCCCAGGAGGGGCGCTACAGGGCCCAGGATGGGGCGCGACGGGGCTAGGGGGGTCGCGACGGGGCTAGGGGCTAGAGGGGTGAGCGGAAGCGGGAGGTGGGGGGGAGATCCTACCTACGTGTGATACCATATCAGAATTGAGAAGTGAATGATAGAGTGAGAGTACACACAGATATACCTAAGTGTTGTACTCTCTAAGAGGCGACCCTATACAGTCTATACAAACATGACAAATACACATGTTTGACATCCGGTGCCAACACAGCTGATATCTTTACGAATGAGCTTGCACCTAAAGATCATCAGCGGCACTGTGTACAGCTCAGTCTAGTTCCTGTAGCCTCTCACTTGCTAGGGCCTTGGCTTTGTACTGTCCTATATATCTATATGTACTCAGACTGGACTTGTGTCCTCTCCCAGTGGCTGGACTAGTAGTGCCGCCCTGGCCTTGATCTTGCCTGTACTCCTTCTGACTGGTCTTGCCAGTAGACCCTTGTCTCAGTGGCTGGACTAGTAGTGCCGCCCTGAGCTGCTTGTTCAGGACCTGTCCCTATGCAGTCTAGGGGGTATGAAAAAAACGTATATCTGTTATGTTTACATAGATTGTATAGGGTCACCTCTTAAAGGTACACCATTTGGTATATTCACTTGTACTCTCTCGAGTCATTTTTATTATTCAGTTCTCAGAGTTTCCACTCAATGTAGGGGGCAAGTCCTGGAAAATCAGGCAAAAAGCCTTTATATCACTCTCACAGGTGTGGACTGGCGAAGAGGGGGGGATATGGGAGCTGAAATCGGGGCAGTCGCCCGCTTGGATGGATGTGGGATGCAAGCCTTAATATTTGCAAGTGACAGCCAAGTTACATAATGAATCATCTCCATCCTCATTAAATGAAGTGAGCTAAACATGATGCATCTTGCTCAAAATCTACTCCCACTTCTCAGCCACGAGGTTAGCAAGGTCAACGACGCGCTGAGAATAGCCCCACTCGTTGTCGTACCATGCAACGACCTTCACCATGTCGTCACCCATGACCATGGTCAAAGATGAGTCAATTGTGGAAGACACGTCTGAGCACCTGAAGTCGACTGACACAAGAGGCTCGTCGCAAACAGCAAGAACACCCTGCAGAAAACAATGGACAGCAAGGTTAAGATCACGCGGATTTGAAACAAGGTGTGACGGCCATTATTCCGAAGACACATACCTTGAGCGGGCCATTGGCGGCCTCACGGAAGGCTGCGTTGACCTCCTCAGCGAAAGTCTTCTTCTCGGTTTGGATCACGAGGTCAACAATGGAGACGTTCGGAGTGGGCACGCGGAGAGCAATGCCATTCAGCTTCCCCTTCAGCTGCAAGAGGAACGCGAAGCGTTAGGTGTATGTATGGGGACCCTAACATGAGAATAGGAATATGAAAGAACGATATGTTACATTAGGGAGCACGAGGGAGACGGCCTTCGCAGCACCAGTTGAGGTTGGCACAATGTTGAGGGCAGCCGCACGTGCACGACGCAGATCGCGGTGGGAGGCATCCAGAAGACGTTGGTCACCGGTGTAAGAGTGGGTAGTAGTCATGGTACCCTTCACGATGCCTGCGCCGAAACAATCGTTACAAGTCACGACCCAGTAACTCCGGCTGAAGATTCGAGTTCCAAGCAATTTGCGGGTACTTACCGAACTTCTCATCAAGGACCTTGACGAAGGGAGCAAGGCAGTTGGTGGTGCAGGACGCGTTAGAGATGATGACATCGTCGTTCGTGTACTGGTCAGCATTGACACCAATCACGTACGTCGGAATGGCACCCTTGCCAGGGGCAGTGATGAGAACCTTCTTGGCACCTGCCTTGATGTGCTTGCCAGCACCCTCGTTATCGATGAAGACGCCAGTACCCTCGATGACGAGGTCAATCCCCAGCTCTCTGCAAAGCCGCCAAGGCACATTCTTCATAACTCAAACTCGAGAAGCCTATTCAAGCGCTAAAAGTCAAGCAGCCAAGCTTACCCCCAAGGAAGGTTCAGCGGGTTGCGGTCGGAAACAATCTTAATTTCCTTCCCATCGACGGAGATGGCCTTGTCGGAGACGACCTTCACGTCAGCGCCAAAGGTGCCGAGCATGGAATCGTACTTCAGGAGGTGGGAAGCCTGCTTCACACCGCCGGAGTCGTTGATGGCAACAATCTCAAGAGGGGAGTCTTCCCTGCCGTGCCAGCAGCGGACGAAGTTGCGGCCAATGCGTCCGAAGCCATTGATGGCCACCTTGATCTTGGCCTCAGCAACCGCCCGCTTGGCAGAAGAGGGAGCCTGCACATTCCACAATACACGTCAGCAAGGCGAATCTACCAAGAAGGACACAACATATTGTAGCCATCCTCACCGCGGCAGTCTGAGCGCCGACACGAGCAATGAAGTCCTCCTGCTTCTTGCCAAACGAGGCCACATTGGTGCTCTTCAGGCCATCGAAGTCGCCAAGGCCCTTGGACACAGCCTACGCACAACAGAGAAACGGATGCTTAGCCAAGTTTCGAGTATTGAGGTTGGCAATGTGAAGAAATGTTGAATAGGGCAGAGGGCTACCTGGGCAGGGGTGGTAAACTTGGCAGACACAGCTGAGGCAGCCATGGTTAGGTATTCAGGAGACGGATGACCAGAGCTAACCAACGATGCAGTTGACGATTGAGGGGCTGGAGCAGTTATAACTGCTGCACACCGCAGTTCCTTGCACCAAGAATTTGTGCTCTACCCCGGTCAGCTTCGTTGTCCAATTTCCACCACTGACTTTGGAGCCTCACGGCCTGATGCGTCACTCGTCACACCTGGGTCAGGGAAGCCAGAGACTTGAGGTGGAAATGGTCTAATGAGAATGACCTGGCATCCGATTCACTTTTCCACATGCGATCTTGATTCGTTCAAAACAGATAAGCAAGCACTTGTTGCCGCGATCTCTCCACGTAGGCTCGCCCCGTTCCTGGTGGCCAATACTTTCAAGGCCTCTTTCCGCCACGGACGCAAACTGCTTCATGGCCTCTGGTTACTTTCTCTGTAACAAATGAGGTCTCCTGCAAAACAAATTTAGCTATAGTGACATATAAAAGCAGTTCATTGGCACACGATTTCCCAATGTACCTGTAAGAAAAAAATGAACTGTAAGTTCAAAGGAGAATGTTGCATTTTCCTGTTTTGATTTTGTATCCATATATACAAACACGTTCCCGCATTATATCATATGGCCTCCTACACAGTGTCCTTGCTAAATTTTAGGCCTGTTTGAAAATCAAACCAATTTTTTTGCCGTCATTTGACGCTCAGACAGAAAACACTCGGAAGTGGCCCACCGCCCACACTGCAGCCCGCCCTTCACCTTCGCATGATGAGTAATTTGTTAGAATAGCAGAAAGAATAGAAACAATATAGTACAGGGGAGGATACAGGGTAGGAGTTGTACCCTCTAAAAACACACACCTATTTAGCCTATAACTTTTATATATAGACATATGTATAAGTTGACACACCCCCTAGGCTAGATAAGGAGCAGTGCTGAGCAAGAAACACGCAACTCAGGGTGGCACTACTAGTCCAACATGAGGTAATGGTCCGAAGACCAGCCAGCAAGAGTACAAACTCGATAAGAGCAATCCAGGGCGGCACTCGTAGTCCGACCACTGGAAGAGAAGCCACAAGGCCAGTCAAGAAGGTATATATAAAGAGGAGTACACCACCATCAAGGTCCTGTTAACTTATACATATATTGTTATATAGAAGTTATAGGCTAGATAGGGTATGTTCTTAGTGGGTACAACCCAAACGCTATATCTCCCCTGTTCTCCCTTCTTCTATCCATTCTTTCTAGTCTTAACATGGTATCACGAGTAGGTAGGTCCACCCACCCGCTTCCGTCCCGTGCCGCCACCTACCGGACCCTCGCGCCCCCAGCTGGCCCCGCGCGCCCCTACGGCCCCGTCGTGCCCTCACGGCCCCGTCGCGCCCCTTGCAGGCCCCTTCGCGCCCTTACGGCCCCGTCGCGCCCCTACGGCCCCTTGCGCCCCTAGCCGGCCCCGTCGCGCCCCTACGGCCCCCGTCACCCGTGCCGCTGAGCCGCCGTGCCGCCGAGCTGCCGTACCGCTGAGCCGCCGTGCCGCTGTGTCCCTGAGCCGCCGCGCCGCCGAGCCGCCAAGTCGCTGCGCCGCTGTGCCGCTGCCACACTGTGCGATGGCGGACGCAGTTCTTCGCTTGGACGCTGAGGGGAACGCGATCGACTTCGCCGCCTGGCTCGTCGACCTCCGCCGGCACCTGACAGGTCAGCGCCAGGATGGGCACTCCCTGGCTATGCATGTTGATGGTTTGCTTCCCCGCCCCCCTGCGCCTGATCCCCTTCCTGATGACCCTACCACTGCTGAGTGCGAGGCTTTTGCTGTTGCTAAGCTTGCTCGAGCTGTTTGGGATTCTCGCGACGCAGTAGTCCAGCTTGCCATTAGCCATGCCCTCCCCCTGTCTGAGCGTCCGCGCTTTACCGCTGTTGCGAACGCCAAGCACTTTCTCGCTGCACTAGTTGATCCTACCATGCTCTTCCCTGATCTTTCTGCTTTCCCCACGGTAGCTGACCTCGCTACTCACCTCCGTGCACTAGAGACCAGCTACCGCGCTGCTAGCTCTGCCGCCCAGCTTACTGCCTTCCCCCCACCTTTCTGCGCTACCCTGTACCTCATCGTTATGCGCCTGCCTGACCGCTTAGCCACTGCCCGCGACCACTTCCTTAGTCAGCACCTTTCCGACATCACCCTGACCGCCTTTGTCACTACTCTGTCTGAGATAGAGACTCGCCAGCGCACTATCGCTCAGTCGAGCGGTGTTGCGGCATTCCCTATCTTTCAGGGCTATGCCCCCTCCCAGTGCACGTACGCTGACGTCTCCGCCGCAGTTGCCACGACTGCGCCTGCCCTTGAGACAACAGCTGCGGCGTACCCGCAGCAGCGCCAGCGCCAGGGCCGCCGTGGCCCCAAGGGAGGATGTGGAGGTGGTGCTAGTGGTGGTGGTGGCCGGGACAGGGGTTCTGACGAGGGGGTTGGTGCTGGTGCCCAGGAGCAGCAGCAGGCGCCACAGTCGCAGCCGTCGCAGCAGCAGCAGCCGTCCTAGTAGCAGCAGTAGCACTAGCCGCAGCATCAGCCGCAGCAGTAGCAGCAGCCGCAGCAGCAGCAGCCGTGGGCTCGTCTCCTGCCCGGGTGGCCAGGAGCCCCTGGCGGTGGTGGTCGTGGTGGTGGCCCTCGCAGCTCGGCGTCCACCGGCAGCTTCGGTGCTGTGAGCTGCCAGTACCAGCTTCAGACCAGGTCCCTGCGTGGCATGGTGTACCGCCGCTTGCACCCCACCGCCCGCTGCTTCCGCCGCCTCGACGAACTCTTCCGTCGCCACTTTGGTCCCGCCCCGGACCTCCCTGACTGGCCCAGCCTGCGCCACGGTGTGCCTGTGTTTGACTTAGATATGGATCAGAGTTGTGCCTTGCATTCTCTATATGCTAACGCTTCAAGTGTTTCCGGATCGTATTACTGTGTGTTCTCTAGCTTAGGCGTAGCACCTGTGTGTAGTCCAGACTCCCCTGCTGCGTAAGGCGTAGGACAGCTTGCTTTGTCTAGCCTCGGCTCTACCCTTGCTCCTCCGTCGTCGGCCACTACGGCGTCGCTGTCCTTCACTCTAGACTCCGGTGCGTCAGCCTGTTTCTTCCGCGACCACGCCGCCCTTACGCCGCTTACTGCGCTTGCCGCTGTCGCCCTTGCGGACCCCTCCTCTGGTCCTGTAGTTGCTCGCAGCTACACTACCCTTCCCTGTCCGGCGGGTCCCTCGGGTTCCCTTACAAGCCTGCACATCCATTCGTTCTCCAGGAACTTAGTTGGTGTCGGCTGTCTTCAGGACCTCGGCATCACCACTACGTTCCCTGGTGACGAGCAGTACGCGGTCTATTCCGAGGCCGCCTCAGGTGCCCCCCTTGCGACGTTCCCCCGGGACCCTGTGTCTGACCTGTTTACGCTGGACACTGCTCCCCCCCCGGCGGGCGAGTCCTCCTCGAATCAGCATCCACCCAGGTAGCTGCGGCCTGCTCGTGTCGGTCGCTCACTCACCCGTCACTAGTGTGGCACCACCGCCTAGGTCACCCCTCGCTCCCCCGCGTGCGTCACATGTCTCAGCACGGTCTAGTACTCGGCCTCCCTGCATCACTCCCTGCTCTCCCTCCCTCACCTGCGCCGCCGTGCACGCCCTGCGTCGAGGGCCGGCTGCGCCGTGCTCCTCACTCCTCCTCACTTTGCCCTGCCACTGCACCCCTTCAGACCCTGCAGTTGGACGTATGGGGCCCAGCCTCTGTCCCTGGACCACGTCGCGAGCGCTACTTTCTCGTGCTCCTTGACGACTTCACGCGCTACACTACGGTGTTTCCCCTAGAGCGGAAGGCCGACATGCCTGACTTTCTTGTCCCATGGCTCGTCGCTGCACGCCTCCACCGCGGTCTCCCTGTGCTGTGTCTCCACTCCAACCGTGGCGGCGAGTTCGCCTCCGGTCAGCTTGGCTAGTTGTGTCGTGCGGAGGGTATCACCCAGACGTACACCCTTCCGGACTCCCCGCAGCAGAATGGGGTCGCTGAGCGACGCATCGGTTTTGTCATGGAGGTGGCTCGTACCTCCATGATCCATGCCGGTGCACCCCATTTTCTGTGGACGTTCGCCGTTCGCTACGTTGCACACGAGCTTAACCTCTGGCCTTGCTCTCAGTGGGCGCAGGTTTCGCGGACCCTTCTTTAGACCGGGTTCCCTAGTGACGCGTCTGCGTTCCATGTCTGGGGCTGCCTCGCTCACATTCGTGCCTCCGGCACGGACAAGCTCACTGCCCGCACTGTCCCCTGTGTCTTCCTCGGTATCCCCCTTGACTCGTCCGACTGGCACTTCTACCACCCGTCGTCTCACCGCTTCCTTCATTCCCGTGACGTCACTTTCAACGAGTCTGTCTCCATTTTCCACCGCTTTCCTCACTGAGGTCTCCTGGTTCCCCCCCCCCCCTGTTTCTGGTTCCCACTCTCCCGGTCGCCCTTGCTCCCCTCCCTCCCCGCCCTGCTCCGTCCGGTGTGTCTCACGTCACTCCCCTCCCGTCGGTTGTCCCGGTCGAGGAGTCGGCTGACTCCGGTGGCCCTGCGGCGTAGTTTGCGTTGCCTGTCCCTCCCCCGGTATCTCCTCCTCCCTTGTCACAGTCGCCGCCGCAGCCGCCGCCGTCACCGCCGCCGCAGCCGCAGTCGTCGACGCAGCCGCAGCTGTTCGTGGACTCTGGAGGTGCTGGATTTGCAGAGGATGCTAGTCCTGGGGCTCTTGTCGTGGCTTGTCCCGGCGGGCTCGCGGGTGACACTGGCGCTGAAGACATTTCTCGTTCTGGGGGTGCTGGCGTGGAGTGTACCAGAGGTAGCAATGGTGCGGCTGGTGGTCCAGGTGTCGGCGTTGAGCAGCAGCAGCAGCAGTCGCCGCCGGTGTCCGCCCTTTGCCTGCTCGGCCTTCCCTCCCCTGACTGCTCGCTTGCGCCTCCCTCGCCGTCTTCCCCTCTTCCTGTTCACGGTCCTGTGTATCCTCCCCCGAACACATCCTCGGATCGTTTCCCCTCTCATTCCCCTCCTGTTACTCCTCCTCTGACTCCTTACCCGACGCCTCCGTCTCACGTCTGGTCTCGCCGTCCCTCTCGTGCTCGTCCTGTCTCTCCTGTTTAGCGTTCTCACCCTATATTGCTTTGTTCCTACGTGTCTCGTCCTCCCTGTTTGCCTTCGCCTCCTCCGTCGTCGCTCACTATCTGGCCTCCCCCTCTGTTTGACTACCTTTGTGCTGCTCGTCCTCTTGTTCCTCGACTCCTTGCCTCCCTCATTACCGACCCGTCTGTTCCTGTCTCCAGTCTTGATACTCTTGTAGCTGCTGTCGCTGACTTTGCCTCTACTCGCCGCCTTGACTTCGCTACCGCTCTGGTCTCTGACCCTGTCTGTCCTCCGTCCGTCGGGGGTGCTCTTGCCCTTGGCAGTGACGTCTTGGAGGACCGCCAGTACGAGCTTGCTTTCCTGTCAGAGGCTGCTCCCCATCTCTGTTCCATGCTGCTAGTCCCAAAGGGTGACCCCGACGCCTTTGACATCCCGACCCCTCGCACTTACGCTGAGGCGACCTCGGGACCCAGGGCCTCACTGTGGATAGCTGCCATGGAGCAGGAGATGGCATCTTGGAGGGCTACCGGCACCTACGTTGACGCAGTTCCCCCACCTTGGGTGAACGTAGTTGATGGCCGGTGGCTCTTCAAGGTGAAGCGCCCCCCTGGAAAGCCGCATGTGTTCAAGACGCGCTACGTGGCTAGAGGCTTCAGTCAGCGCGAGGGTGTGGCCTTCTTTCACACCTTCGCCTCGACCTTGAAGATGACTAATCTTTGGGCACTGCTACACGTAGCAGCACAGCATGACTACGAGCTTCACTCCCTCGACTTCTCCACTGCTTTCCTTCAGGGCAACCTACACGAGCAGGTCTACCTGCGCTGCCCTCATGGCTTTACCGGTACTTTCCCTCCTAGGACCCAGTGGCTCCTCCGGTGCCCCGTCTATGGCTTGCGACAGGCGCCCCGTGAGTGGCACGATACGCTGCGTGCCACGCTAGCTGACATGCAATTCTTTCCATCCTCTGCTGACTCTTTGCTCTTCGTTCGTGCTGGCCAGACCCCGTTCTACATCCTGGTCTACCTACATGACCTGGTCTTTGCTACAGCAGACAGAGACACGCTGGCCTCTGTGAAGGCTGATCTGCTGAGGCGACACACCTGTACTGACCTAGGAGAGTTGCGCCGCTACCTTGGCCTGCAGATCTACAGGGACAGAGCAGCGTGCACCATCACTCTTACATAGTCACACTTGGTGCGCCAGGTCCTTCAGAGGTTCGGTCTTCAGTTCTCCTCCGCACAGCCCACACCTCTGCCGGTAGACCACAGGCTCTCAGCTCCAGTTCTCGAGCAGTGAGTAGAGCCCAGTGGTCCTTACGTAGAGCTGGTGGGTTGCCTCATGTACCTGATGACTTGCACTCGCCCAGATCTCGCATACCCTCTTAGCATTCTGGCCCGCTTTGTGGCCACAGGCAGACACCGACCACATCACTGGTTGGCCGCTAAGAGGGTTTTGCGTTATCTCGCGAGTACATCAGGCATGGGGTTAGTGCTGGGAGGACGCAGGCCGGTGGTCCTTACTGGGCACATGCTTCTTGGGCAGACAACGCTGAGACACTCCGGTCCTTACAAACGCTTCTTGGGCAGAAGACACACACAGACGCTTCTTGGGCAGACGCCGCTGAGACACTCCAGTCCTCTCAGGGCTACTGCTTCAGCCTTGGTTCTGGTGCCATCTCGTGGAGGTCCACTCGCTCCTTGTCTGTTGCTCAGTGTCACATGATCGAATGTGTCGAGGAAATATTGCACTATCGATCAGTACAAGGTGCTTTTATACTTCCAGAGTACATCAGGTAACCAGGTTTATCTTATCCTAAGGGAATAGACCCTTCTAGAAGATAGAATCACCCTGCGTATAGCCACGCGAGGCTATTGGCTTTAAGGGATTACAGCAGGATTACGCTAGATAGAGCGCACCAGTACATCCCAAGCCTGGTCGGTGATATAATTAGAATAGCAGGATAAACCAAAGGTTAATGGAAAAGGAAGAATAGGAAACCAAATGAGATGGAATAAAAGAGGAATGAAAAAGGAAGGAAAGAAGAAAAGGCCAAGTGGTGTAACGAGGTCGTACTCTCACACTTCCCCCCCTCAAAGCTGGGTGGTAGAAGTAACACCCTGCTTGACAATGTAGTCATGCAGAGGACGACGGGCATTACCCATGTCGGACTCAGGGACCCAGCTGTCCTCAGAAGGGTCATAACCCTTCCAACGGATGAGAAGCTCCATGGTGCCATTCCGACGTCGGCGGTGTGCTAGCACGGACTCGACCTCGTACTCGGGTTCATTGTGAACGAGGACGGGCGGCGGCGGCGGCGGTTGGCGTCCGACGAAGATCGTGTTCGGATCCCGGTAGGGCTTCAGAAGCTGGACATGGAAGGCGTTGTGAATCTTCCAGGTAGCTGGCAGGCGTAAGCGGAAGGTAACAGGAGTGACCTGTGCTTCAACGAGAAAAGGCCCGCAGAAGCGAGGTCGAAGTTTAGATGGGAGGTGGCTGATGTCCAGGTTGCGGGTGTCAAGAAGCACCTGGTCTCCCACCGTGATGGTGTGGTCGTTGCGATGGCGATCGGCCTGGTGCTTCTGTTGCTGTTGAATGTCAAGGAGGCGCTTGTGGGTCCGATCCCAAAGCTGATGCATGGTTGTGATGAAATCATGTGCAGGTTGTACTGTAGCGGATGTTGTCGGTTTCTGTGGTGTGAGTGGGTGGCGTCCGTAGCAGAGGAAGAACGGCGTCTGTCCAGTAGCGGCATGCGTAGCATTGTTGTAAGCAAACTCTAGTACGGGCAGGTGCAAGTCCCATTTGGAGATGTCGTCCTTGCAGGCTGCTCGGAGGAGTTGCTCAACAATTTGGTTGAGGCGCTCGGTCTGTCCGTCTGTCTGCGGATGGTATGCGGATGACATGGCGAGTTTGGTCCCGAGAAGCGATATAAGTTCCTTCCAGAACTTGCTGGTGAACTTGGGATCTCGGTCGGAAATGAGTGTGGTTGGGATGCCATGCTGTGAGATGATGTGACGAACGAAGAGCTGTGCTGTCTCCTCGGTGCGTGCCGTCGTGTGTGTCGGGATGAAGTATCCCATTTTAGAGAACTTGTCAATGACGACAAGGATTGCGTCATGACTGCTGGTGGTAGGTGGTAACCCGGTGATGAAGTCTAGGCTGACCACTTGCCATGGCTGTTCTGGGACAGGAAGAGGCTGCAGTAGTCCCGCCTTTTTCTGCTTGCTGCTCTTCATCCGCTGACATGTATCACACGAGGTGACGAATTTCTGGACGTCGTCTGCCATATGGGGCCAGTAGTAGTGTTTGGCGATACCGGTGAGCGTCTTGTTGCTACCGAAGTGTCCGGCGTAGAGGACGTCGTGGTATTCTTCGAGTAGTATCTGGCGCAAAGGAGGGTAATTGGGTACCCAGATTTTTGTTGATCCTTTCCGGTATGCAATGTCACTGTCCCACTGTAGCAAATGTCGCTTTTCTGCCAAGGGAATTTCGGGGTCGATGGCGTACCCGTGTGTGAAGAGTCCCTTGAGTAGTGGATTCATCCCTTCAATCTGAATAGCGGCAACGTGTGCAGGCCGGCTGAGAGCGTCTGCTTTGTTTTTGTGGCCGGGCTTGTACACGATGTTGTAGTGGAAGTGTGTCTCGAGGAAGTCGATCCACCGGACCTGCCGCTTGGAAAGATTGGGTTGTGTCTTCAAGTATTTCAGGCTGCAGTGATCGGTGTAGACGGTTGTTCTTCGTCCTTCGAGATAACATCTCCACGCTTTGAAGGCGATGACGATGGCAAGGGCCTCTTTGTCGTGTATCGGGTAGTTTAGTTCTGCTCCGTGTAGTTTCTTGCTGAGGTAGGCGATTGGTTGCAGTCCATTCCCCTGGTCTTGCATTAAAACTGCCCCCACTACCTGGTCGCTGGCGTCAGCTTCGATCACGTAGTTGCGTTCGGGATCTGGCAAGATGAGTACCGGTACGGACGTGAGTGCTTGTTTTAGCTGCTCCACGGCTTCCTGGTGCTTTGATTCCCATTTATAGGGCGTGTTCTTCTTCAGCAGATTCGTGAGTGGTGCTGCGATTTTCCCATACTGTGGCACGAACCTGTTGTAGTAATTAGCGAAGCCTAGGAATTGCTGCAACTCCTTCACGTTCTCGGGTGTCTTCCACGTGCGTACTGCCTCGATTTTCTTGGGGTCGACGTGAACTCCTTGAGCGCTCACCATGTGTCCTAGGAACTGGACCTTTTCAAGGGCGAATTCGCTCTTGGACAGTTTGACGTAGAATCGTTCCCGTCGAAGAATTTCAAAGACGCGTCGCAGGTGTTCGACGTGCTGCTTCATGTCGCGCGAGTAGATGAGTATGTCGTCCAGGTACACCACCACGCATTCGTCCAGAAGTGGTCGTAGAATGTGGTTCATTTCGGCTTGGAACGTTGCCGGCGCGATGGTGAGTCCGAACGGCATTACCAAATACTCGTACGATCCATACCGAGTTCGAAAAGCAGTTTTGTGGATAGAGTTGTCCGCCATCCGTATCTGCCAGTATCCGGACCGCAGATCCAGTTTGGAAAATACCGTAGCTCCCCGAAGCTGGTCAAGCAGGTCATCGATTCGCGGTATCGGATATTTATTCTTGATGGTCTGCTTGTTAAGAGCTCGGTAGTCGACGCACATGTGCAGGCTTCCGTCCGGTTTCGGTGTGAAGAGTACTGGGGCACCGTATGGCGAAGTGGATGGCCGGATGAGTCCTTTGGCTAGGAGATACTCGATCTGTTTTTTCATGTCAGTCAGTTCCGTAGGGCTGAGCCGGTATGGTGCTCGGAAGGTCGGCTTCGAACCAGGTTCCTCCACGATCTCATGTTGATGCGTTCGGTATGGCGGTAGCTCGTTCGGAAGATCGTTAGGAAGAATGTCTTGGAACTCCTTCAGTAATTCCTTGATTTGTTCTGGAGTTTCCGAGGCTTTCTCTCCGTCATTCTCTACCTCTGTTGCTATCGCCAGGAACCCGGTGTCGGTCCGCTTCACGTCCTTCTCGAATCGTGCGAGTGTCTCCACTGGGATATCTCCAGTATCGTCCCAGTTGGGTAGCTGTACTCTCCGTCCATTGTTGTAGATGCTTGCGGTGCGGTTCACCCAGTTGATCTCGGGGTTGAATCTTTTCAGGAAGTCTCGCCCGAAGATCAGGTCAAGCCCTTTGATGTTGGTGATGGGGAGTGCAGGTCTCCAGCGCAGTGGTCCGATTTGTAGGTGTAGCACTGCTTCGCCGTATACTGGTAACTTGCTGCCGTCCACCATCGTTGCAGAGAATCCTGAAGGCTTGTACTCTTCCCGTAGTCGGTCGATTACTGCTTTGTTGCAGACGGTGTGTGACACTCCGCTGTCCACGAGTGCTTGGAGGCGTCGTCCTTTGCAGATGACCTCGAGCACGAGGGGCAGTCGTTGCTCGGAGTACCCAAAGATAGTTTCATTGATTGGGTCGTAGGGTACATCCCAATACTCCGTACACACCTTTGTGTTGCTATCTACTCCTGAGCTGGCAGCTGGCCGAGGCTGCTTGGAGAACGGCTCTTCTCCAGGGCCCGGACTTTCCTTGACGACTGTGCGCGTCACTGATGCCGAAGAACTGGATGCATCCGTAGGAGGAGTTCGGGGTTTGTGCAGCTTCTTGTAGACCCCCAGCTTCCTCTTGAGCTGCTTCAGCTCCACCGACGTCTTCCCTGGGGAACGGGTAGTCGTTGTGGGCTGGTGTCGGGAGAGGACGTTGACTCCGTGGAAAGGTCGGCTTCTTTCCACACTCCTTAATTTGGTCCCCAAGTTTTCCGGTACCGGTATAATCTCCACAGCTTTCTGCTTCTTTTGGAGTCCCTCCCGAATTTTCTCCAAGGCTCTAGCCCCTCGAAATTCATAAGTTTTCATTAAAGCATCTTTATAAGATAACTTTAACGAATTCTTATGATTTCTTGGGTCTTCAAGGAGTTTCCCTGTCTCGGCAGAGTCTTTTTTCGCGGAGTCGTATTTTTCCTCGGCGATTTTCCCTGGCGAAGTCTGGTCGTGGGTTGGAGATTTTCCCCCATCATTTCCTCCTTCTCGCGTCGAATCAGCTTCGTCGAAGTTGATTTTTCCGGAATCCCGCGGCCGTTTTCGGATCTTTTTATTTTCGCCAGCTAGATCCGCAATCACTGGCGACTCCCGTTTTTTGGCTGAAGGAATTCCGCCACTGTTGCGTGCCCGATACTCTGTGCATGCGGTCTTCATTTTGTTGCAGTCGAAGATTCGATGACCTGGCACCCCGCAAAAATCACACGTGTAGTTGGTGTTTTTCGGACGTGGCCGCCCTTCGAATCTGTCGACTTCCATCGGGTCGGCGAACGTGGGGTGAGCCGAGCGGTCGCCCTGTCGCGTACTGGCGACGTGCGTCCGTCGTGTTCCGGCGTTGACCATGTCGAAGCGCTCCGCTGCCGAAACGACGTCACTGTAGCTCGCGTAGTTTGACGCAGCGACTTGTCGTTTGACTTCGGTCTTCAGCCCGGCGAGGTACGATTGTACTTTTTCCCCTTCGGTCAGATCGGGAATGCGGTTATAAAATTCTTCCATTTGCTGCGTGTACTGCGCTACACTCCCGAACTGTCGGTGTCGATGAATTTTTTCCCGGGCAAGGAAACTCGAATTTATCGGCTCGAATCGTTTCAGCAGGTCGGTGCGGAACTGCTGCCACGTGGCTTCACCGTGGATGAAAGTACTGTTGCCGCCAATCCACTCGAGTGCCGGCCCTCGCATCAGTGTCGCCGCGAGTCGTACACGTTGACCGTCCCAGACTGGCGAGCTCCATGCGACGGCTGCGAAGTAGATCTCCATCCCGGCGATCCATCTGCGGGCATCGGAGTTTCGATCGCTCGGATCGAACGGCTCAGGTGGGCGCGGTTTCGGAGCCTCGAGAAACTGCTGCGTCGTCGCCGTTGTCGTCTCGTGCTGCGCTCCGGCGAGTCGAGTTACTCGCTCGAACTGGTTTCGCCACGCTTCGCGATCCGCTCGCATTTCCTCCTGAAGGGCTGCGATGCGCGCGAAGAGCTGCTGGGTAACCTCGGCGTTGTCGAAGGTTGCCATCCTGTTCAAAAGACGCACGGAGGGGGTAATTCGAAAATCGCGGAGCTGGTGCTTACCAGAATCGGCGTCGAATTGGTCGCCCCCGGCGGTTTTTCGAGGCGGGATCCCCGCTGCTGCTGCTTAGCTGAGCGTGGTCGAGTGAGAAAAGCTCTGATTACCAAGTGTTACAGGATCGAATGTGTCGAGGAAAGATTGCACTATCGATCAGTACAAGGTGCTTTTATACTTCCAGAGTACATCAGGTAACCAGGTTTATATTATCCTAAGGGAATAGACCCTTCTAGAAGATAGAATCACCCTGCGTATAGCCACGCGAGGCTATTGGCTTTAAGGGATTACAACAGGATTACGCTAGATAGAGCGCACCAGTACATCCCAAGCCTGGTCGGTGATATAATTAGAATAGCAGGATAAACCAAAGGTTAATGGAAAAGGAAGAATAGGAAACCAAATGAGATGGAATAAAAGAGGAATGAAAAAGGAAGGAAAGAAGAAAAGGCCAAGTGGTGTAACGAGGTCGTACTCTCACACTCAGTCTAGCTACGAGGTGAGATCTACGCCGGTGCCATGGCGGCACAGGAGCTTCGCTGGCTGACCTTCTTGCTTGCCGACTTAGGTGAGCGGCCTAGCTGTGCTCCGGTTCTGTACGCTGGCAACAGGGCCATGATCCTCCTATGTCAGGAGCCTCGACTTGAGGGTAGAGCGAAGCACATCCAGCTGCGGTACTTCCTCCTGCGCGAGCTTCAGCAGCGTCGCCAGGCCCACGTAGTACACTTGGCCTCGGGTGCCAACACAGCTGATATCTTTACTAAGGCGCTTCCGCCTAGAGATCATCAGCGGCATTGCTTGCAGTCAGGTCTACTCCTTGTTGACTCTCACTTGCTAGGCCCTTGATTGTGTACTCCTTTCTATTTATACCTTGCAGACTGGCCTTGCGGCTTTTCCTCCAGTGGTTGGACTAGTAGTGCAACCTTGGTCTGTCTTGCTTGTACTCTTGCTGAATGGTCTTCGAGCCTCTGCCTCAGAGGTTGGACTAGTAGTGCCACCCTGAGCTGCATGTTTCTTGCTGAGCACTACCCCTTCTCTACCCTAGGGGGTGTGTCAACTTATACATATATTGTTATGTAGAAGTTATAGGCTAGATAGGGAATGTTCTTAGTGGGTACAACCCAAACGCTACAGTATATCTCCCCTGTTCTCCCTTCTTCTATCCATTCTTTCTAGTCTTAACATGTCCTTGCAAGTGAGAGTCTACAGGAACAAGACCAAGCTGCAAACAATACCCGCGATGATCTTTAGGCGCAAGCGCCTTAGTACAGATATCAGCTGTGTTGGCACCCGAGGCCAAGTGGACTACGCGGGCGTGATGGCGTTGCTATAGCTCACGCTGGAGGAAGTACCGCAACTGGATGTGCTTCGCTTTGCCCTCGAGTCTAGGCTCCTGACACAGGAGGATCATGGCCCTATTGTCAGCGTACAGGACTGGGGTAGAGCAGGGTCGCTCACCTAAGTTAGTAAGCAAGAAAGTCAGCCAGCGGAACTCCTGTGCCACCATGGCACCGGCATAGATCATAGCCTCACAGCTAGACTGGGCAACAGACGAGGAGCGTGTTGACCTCCACGAGATGGCACCTGAACCAAGGCTAAAGCAGTAGCCCTGGGAGGACCTTAGTGTCTCAGCGTCGTCTGCCCACGAAGCGTCTGTGTGCCCAGTAAGGACCACTGGCCTACGTTCTCCCAGCACGAGTCTCATGCCTGATGTACTTGCTACACAATGCAAAACCCTCTTAGCTGCCAACCAATGCTGTCGTCGGTGTCTGCCTGATGCCACAAAGCGAGTCAGAATGCTGAGAGGGTATGCAAGATCTGGACGAGTGCAAGTCATCAGGTACATAAGGCAATCCACCAGCTCTGCGTAGGGACCACTAGGCTCTACTGACTCCTCAGGAACTGGAGTAGAGATCCTGTGGTCTACTGGCAGAGGTGTGGGCTGTGCAGAGGAGAACTGAAGACCGAACCTCTGAAGGACTTGGCGCACTAAGTGTGACTGTGTGAGAGTGATGGTGCGCGCTGCTCTGTCCATGGAGATCTGCAGGCCAAGGTAGCGGCGCAGCTCTCCTAGGTCAGTGCAGGTGTGTCTCCTCAGTAGCTCTGCCTTCACGAAGGCCAATGCATCCCTGTCTACAATAGCAAAGACCAGGATGTAGAATGGGGTCTGGACAGCACGAACGAAGAGCGAGGGGTCTGCAGACGACATGAAGAACTGCAGGTCAGCTAGCGTATCACGCAAAGTGTCATGCCACTCACAAGGCGCCAGTCGCAGGCTGTAGACCGGGCGCGGTGGAGCAACTGGGTCCCAGGTGGGAAGGTACCGGTGAAGCCCTGAGGATGGCACAGGTAGACCTGCTCGTGTCGGCTGCCCTGAAGAAACGCTGTAGAGAAGTCGAGGGAGCGTAGCTCGTAGTTACGCTGTGCTGCTACGTGTAGCAGTGCCCAAAGATTAGTCATCTTCGGGGTCGGGGTGAAGGTGTGAAAGAAGGCCACACCCTCGCTCTGACTAAAGCCTCTAGCCACGTTGCGCGCCTTGAACACAGGTGGCTCTCAAGAGGGGCGCTTCACCTTGAAGAGCCACCAGCCATCAACTACGTTCACCCCAGGTGGGGGAACTGCGTAGATGTAGGTGCTGGTGGATCTCCAAGATGCCATCTCCTGCTCCATGGCAGCTATCCACTGTGAGGCCCAGGGTCCCGAGGTCACCTCAGCGTAAGTGCAAGGGGTCGGGATGTCAAAGGCGTCTGGGTCACACTCAGGGACTAGCAGCATGGAAGAGGGATGGGGAGCAGCCTCGGACAGGAAAGCAAACTCGTACTACCTGTCCTCTAGGACGTCACTGCCAAGGGCAAGAGCACCCCCGACAGACGGAGGACGGACAGGGTCAGAGACCAGAGCGGTGGCGTAGTTAAGGCGACGAGTAGATGCGAAGTCAGCGACCGCATCGACAAGAGTGTCAAGACTCGAGACAGGTACAGAGGGGTCGGTAACGAGGGAGGCAATGTTTTGAGGAACAAGAGGACGAGCGACACCAAGGTAGTCAGATAGAGGAGGCGGAGTGACAACGAGGGATGACGGAGGAGGCGAGGGGAGGAGGGGAGGACGAGACGCGTGGGAATGAAGCAACTTGGGATGAGAGCGCTGGATAGGAGAGACAGGTCGAGCGCGAGAAGGACAGCGAGAAAAAATCTGGGACGGGGGCGTCGGATCAGGAGACACACGAGGAGTAATAGGAGGGGAACAAGGGTGGAAACGAGCTGGGGACAAGTCCGGCGGAGGAAACACAGGGCCGTAGACAGGAAGGGGAGGAGGCGGCGGGGGAGGTACAGGTGAGCGGTTAGGGGAGGGAAGGCCGAGCAGGCGATGGGCGGACACCGGCGGCGACTGCTGTTTCTGCTGCTCCACGCTGACACCTGGACCGCCAGCTGCACCACGGCTACCTCCGGAACACTCCACTAAAGCACCCCAGAACGAGCACCCTCCAGAGCGAGAACCCTCTCCAGCACCGGTGCCACCCCCAGGTTTGTCGGGACAAGCCACAATAGGAACCCTAGGACTAGCACCCTCCTCAATGCCAGCACCCCCACAGTCCACGCACGGTAGCTGCTGCTGCGGCGACGGCGGCGGCTGTTACTTTGGCGACGGCGACGGCGGCGGTTGCTGCTGCGGCTGCTGCTGCGATGGCGGTGGCTGCAGCTGCAGCGACGGCAGAGGAGGAGATACCCGGGGAGAAACAGGAGGTGAGAACTGCGCCGCGGGGCCACCAGAGTCAGCCGACTCCTCAACCGGGACAACCGACGGGAGGGGAGTGACGTGAGACACACCAGACGGAGCAAGACGGGGAGGGAGGGGAGCAGGGGCTACCGGAGGTGTGGGAACCAGAAATAGGGGTGGGGAAACCGGGAGATCTCGGTGGGGAAAACGGTGGTAGAAGGAGACATACTCGTCGAAATTGGCGTCACAGGAGTGAAAGAAGCGGTGAGACGGCTGGTGGTAAAAGTGCCATTCTGACGAGTCAAGGGGAAACCGAGGAAGACACAGGGGACAGTGCGGGCAGTGAGCTTGTCCGTGCCAAAGGCATGAACGTGAGCAAGGCAGCCCCATACGTGGAACACGGACGTGTCACCAAGGAACCTGGTCCAAAGAAGGGTCGGCGAAACCTATGGCCACTAGGAGTGCGGAGCAAACTGATGCGTCGCTCAGCAACCCCATTCTGCAGCGGAGAGTCCGGTAGGGTGTACGACTGGGTGATGCCCTCCGCATGACAGAGCTGTCCAAGCCAACCAGAGGCAAACTTGCCGCCACAATCGGAGTGGAGATACAGCACAGGGAGACTTTGGTGGAGGCACGCAGCTACGACCCATGGGATAAGAATGTCAGGCACATCGGCCTTCCGCTCCAAGGGAAACACCGTTGTGTAGCGCTTGTAGTCGTCGACAAGCACTAGAAAGTAGCACTCTTGACGCGGCCCAGGGACGGGGGCTAGGTCCCAGACGTCCAGGTGCAGGGTCTGGAGTGGCGCAGTGGCAGGGCGAATCGAGGAGGAGTGCTAAGCACGACGCAGCCGGCCCTCGACGTAGGGTGTGCACGGCGGTGCATGCGAGGGAGGGAGGGCAGGAAGCGACGTGGGGAGACCTAGGACGAGACCGTGTTGAGACATGTGACGCAGACGTAGGAGTGCGGGGTGACCTAGGCGGTGGTACCACAGAAGCGACGGGTGAGTGAGCGACCGACACGAGCAAGCCGCAGCAATCTGGGTAGACGCAGGACCCGGGGAGGACGCGCCCATCGGGGGGGGGGGGGGAAGCAGTGTCCTGTGTAAACATGCCAGACACCGGGTCCTAGGGGAACATCGCAAGGGGGCACCTGAGGTGGCCTCGATACAGACAGCGTACCGCTCGTGACCAGGGAACGTAGTGGTGACGCCGAGGTCCTGAAGACAGCACACACCAACTAGATTCCTGGAGAACCCGAGGGAACCACTAGATAGGGAAGGGTAGTGTAGCTACGAGCAACGACGGGACTAGAGGAGGGGTCAGTAAGGGCGACAGCGGCAGATGCTGCAAGCGACATGATTGTGGCGTGTTCGCAGAAGTAGCAGGCAGACGCACAAGAGTCAAGTGTAAAGGACAGCGAAGCAGAAGCTGCGGCCAGAGGAGGAGCAAGCGTAGAGCCTAGGCTAGACAAGACAGAAGGTCCTACGCCTGACGCAGCAGGGAAGCCGATACTACACACAGGTACTACACCAAAACTAGATAACACAGGGTAATATGATCCGGGCACACTAGAAGCATCAGCATACAAAGAATGCAGGGCAGAAGAGATCCGATCAATGTCTAACTCAAAGACAGGCACACCGTGGCGCAGCAGACTGGGCTAGTCCAGGAGGTCCGGGGCCAGGACGAAGCGGCGGCGAAAGAGGTCGTCGAGCCGGCGGAAGCAGCGGGCGGTCCGGTGCGGGCGACGACACACAGTGCCGCAGAGGGGGCCAGTCTGGAGCTGGTACTGCCAGCTCACAGCATTGAAGCTGCTGGCCGACGCCGAGCTGCGAGGGCCGCCACCGCGTCCACCACCTCCAGCGGCTCCTGGCCACACTGGCGGAAGAAGGGCCCACAATTGGTGCTGCGGCAGCTGCGGCTGCTGCTGCTACTAGGCATCAGACCCGATCCCTTCGTCAGACCCACTTTCCCTGCCACCACCACCACCATCACCACCACCACCACCACCACCACCACCACCACCACCACCACCACCACCACCACCACCACCACCACCACCACCACCACCACCACCACCACCACCACCACCACCACCACCACCACCACCACCACCACAACCACCACCACCACCACCACCACCACCACCACCACCACCACCACCACCACCACCACCACCACCACCACCACCACCCCCCCCGACACAGCGCCCCCCCTTGGGGCCACGACGGCCCCGACACGGGTGCAGCTGCGGGGACGCCGCAGCTGCGGTCTCAGCGGCAGGGGCAGTCGCAGCGACCGGGGCTGAAACGTCAGCGTACGTGCACTGGGAGGGTGCACAGCCCTGAAAGATAGGGACTGCCGCAACACCGCTCAACTGAGCGATAGTGCGCTGGCGAGTCTCTATCTCACACAGGGCGGTGACAAAGGCGGTAAGGGTGAGGTCACCTGGGTGCTGGCTAAGGAAGTGGTCGCGGGTAGTGGCTAAGTGGCCCGGAAGGCGCATAGCAATGAGGTATAGTATAGCGCACAACAGCAGGGGGGAGGCAGTAAGCTGGGCGTCAGTGCTAGCGGCGCGGTAGCTAGCCTCTAGTGCATGGAGTTGAGTGGCTAGGTCAGCGAACGTGGGGAAAGCGGCAAGATCAGGGAACTGCATGGGGAGGATCAGGCGGCCAGCAGAGGCTAAGGTGGCCATGGAGTAGCACGCAACTACTGCATCTAAGATATCCTTGGCATTCGCGACAACCGTGAAGTGCGGACGCTCAGACAGGGGAAGAGCATGACTAATGGCGAGCTCTGCTACGGCATCTCGGGAATCCCAGACAGTGCGAGCAAGCGCAGCAGTAGAAAAGGCCTCACGTTGAGTAGTGGTGGGGTCAGCAAGGAGGGGATCAGGCATGGGGGGCAGGGAAGCAAGCCATCAACATGCACAGCCAGGGAGTGCCCAGCCTGGCGCTGACCTGTCAGGTGACGGCGGAGATCGACAAGCCAGGCGGCGAAGTCGATCGTGTCCCCCTCTGCGTCCAGGCGGAGTACAGAGTCCGCCATCGTGCGACCTCATCGACACAGCTCCACAGCAGCACGGCGGCGCGGCGGCACGGCAACACAATGGCACAGCTACTCAGTGGCATGGCGGTACATGGACACAGCTACACAGCAGCACAGCAGCGGGGCGGCAGAACTCCCCGGCAGGAAGACCAAGCTGGGATGCACGGGGCCAGCAGAGCGCGACGAGCCGGCAGAGTGAGAAGAAGGTCGACGAGGCATGATGGGCCAGCGGGGCTCGAAAGGGACGGCGGGGCGCTATGAGCCGGCGGGGCGCAGAGGCCAGGTGGGGCGCGAAAGGGACCAGCGGAGCGCGAAAGGGACGAGCGGGGCGCGAGGGGCCGGCGAGGCGCGTAAGGGACCAGCGGGGCGCGCGAGGGGTCGTCGGGGCGCTAAGGGCCGGCGGGGCGCGTAAGGGACCAGCAGGGCTCAAGGGGCCGACTAGGCGCTAAGGGACCAGCGGGCGGGCGAGGGGCCAGCGGGGCGCTAAGGGCCGGCGGGGCGCAGGAGGGACCAGCAGGGCGTGAGGGCCGGGCGAGGTGCGAGGGGCCGACGGGGCGTGGAAGGGACGAGCGGGGCGCGCGAGGGGTCGGCGGGGCGCTAAGGGCCGGCGAGGCACGCTAAAGCCAACGGGGTGCACTAAGGGAACGGCGGGGCGGTAGGCTAGGGCGAGGGCGGAAGCGGGTGGGCGGACCTAACCTACTATGATACCATGTAAGAATAACATAATGAATAGAAACAAGGTAGTATAGGGGAGGATATAGGGTTGGAGTTGTACCCTCTATGAACACAAACCTATCTAGCCTATAACTGTTTCTCGTCGTTTTGGTGCGCGACTCTGGTTTTTGCTCTCGCTTTGGGGAACTGGTTTACCAATCGGGGGGGTTCAAGATTAAGAAACTTGAAAAGCAATTTCTGCAATTTCGGCTATTTTTGACTGGGGCTTTAACCGTTTCTTGTGGGTTACTATGGGAGTGAGGGCGAATGTTGCTAGGAGTGGACTTAGACATTTTATGGGTTGCTAGGGCTGTTGAGAGACTGTCTCTGGCTGTTAGGACTTAGCTGGATCTTATGAGTTGCAGGGTGTGAGAGGAATTACTCAGGGGGTTGGAGACTTGGCCAATTTTTCAGGGTTGCGGGAATATAGGTAGAGTGTCAGGGTCCGTACGCGCTGTACTTTGCAAACCCGGTATCCACTAAGTGCAAGCAAAGTCTGAAAAACACATAATTCAAAATCGTACAAGTCTGAAGGGCTCAATATCCAGAAAAGGCAAAGTCTGAAAAATCAGGAGTGGGAAAAAAAATGGTGTGAAATTTCAGACAATCATACTAAAATAGTATGATAACATCACCTCTGGTCAGCGCCATGACGGCCAGTTTCTGGCCGTCTACGTCGATGGTAAGCTGCCCTGCCCTCCCACGCCTGTTGCCCTCGCTGCCGACGCCATGCCTCCTCGCCACGCGCCTGCCTGACTGCCTATACCTCGCTGACCTACTGTAACCCTTGACGACTTTGTCACCACCCTGTCGGCAATAGAGACCCGCTAGTGCACTATCGCTCAGTCTAACGGTACCTTAGTGGTCTCTATCGTCCCGGGTTGTGCTCCCTCCCAGTGCACTCACTCTGATGCTTCCGCCGGTGTTGCTGAACCCTAAACCCTAAACCGTTGCTGCGGCCTCAGCGCAGCCCCGTCAGGGTAGAGCCCCAGTCGCCCCAATGGGGGGGGGTGGGGGAGGGAAAGGTGGTGGGGGTGGTGGGAGCGCTCGGGTTGCGGACGAGGGGGTGGGGACTGACGCCCCAGGGGAGCAGCAGGCAGCAACAGCAGCGACCGCAACAGCTACAACAGCAGCAGTGGAGGCCCCTGCCGTCGTGGTGGCCAGGCGGTTTCGATGGTGATGGCCGCGAAGGCGGCCTTGGCAGCTCAACGTCGAATGGGGGCTCTGGTCCGGTGGATTGTCAATACCAAATTCAGTTTGGTCCCCTTCGTGGCACCGTGGTGGCCGTCCTGGTCACACCGCCGCCCACTGCTACCGCCGCCTCGTCGACCTCTTCCGTCTCCAATTCGGGCTCATGCCGGCCCTCCCGGACTGGCCCAACATGGTACGTCCTCGTGTGCCGATCTTTGAGATGGATATGGATCTGATAGGATCTGCTATGTATGCTGATGACTCTAGTGTTACTGGACCATATTACTGCGCTATGCCTAGACTAGGAGCTCCTACTGTGTGTAGTATGGGCTCCCCTGCTTTGCCTAGTGTAGGACCTCCTAACTTGTGCAGCCTTGGTTCCACGCTTGTGCCCCCGCCGGCCGACGCTACCGCCTCGCTCTCCTTCACGCTAGATTCTGGTGCGTCCGCCTGCTTCTTTCGTGACCACACCACTCTCACGCCGTTTCCTGCACCAGCAGCAGTCTCCCTTGCAAACCTCTCCTCTGGTCCGGTAGTCGCACGCAGCTCCACCACACTTCCCAGTCCGGCGGTTCCCTTTAACTCTCTTACCAGTCCACACATCCCTCATTTTCCAGGAACCTAGTTGGTTCCAGTTGCCCTTAGGACCTCCACGTCACCACCATGTTTCCTGGACACGAACGGTACGTGGTCTGTACAAAGGTCGCCATCGGTGCTCCCCTCACCATGTTTCCCGGGGACCGTGTATCTGGCCTGTTCACGCTGCACACCGCGTCCCCCCAAGTGGCTTCATCCCCCCAGGTGGCTGTGTCTATGCATATCACTGCGGATTGCTCGTGTCAGTCGCTCACTCACCCGTCACTTCAGTGGCACCACCGTCTAGGTCACCCCGTTCTCCCGCGTCTCTGTCACATGTCACAGCATGGCCTTGTCTTAGGTCTCCTTGCATCGCTCCCTGCCCTCCCTCCCTTGTTCGTGCCTCCGTGCACGCCTTGCGTCGCGGGGTGGCAGCGTGCTGCTCCTCACTCCTCCTCCTTTCTCCCCACCACTGCGCCACTTCAGACGCTACACATGGACGTCTGGGGCCCAGCCCCGGTCCCTGGGCTGCGTCGCGAGCGCTACTTCCTGGTTTTCGTGGACAACTACTGGTTCTATACCACAGTGTTTCCCCTAGAGCGGAAGGCCGATGTGCCTGACGTTCTTATCCCGTGGCTTATACCTTCCCGAGTCCACTGCGCCCAGCCTGTGAATAGTCTACACTCCGACCGTGGAGGCGTGTTCGCCTGCGGTCAGCTTGGCTAGTACTGATGTGCAGAGGGCATCACCCAGTCCTACACACTCCCGGACTCCCCACAGCAGAATGTGATTGTTGAGCGGCGCTAGGGTTTGGTCATGGAGGTGGCTCGTACCTCCATGATCCATGCCGGTGCACCCCATTTTCTTTGGCCGTTCGCAGTGTGCTACGCCGCTCATCAGCTTAACCTATGGCCCTGCGCGTCGCGCCTGCAGGTTTCATCGACCCTCATCTGGACCGGGTCCCCAAGTGACGCGTCTGCGTTGCACGTCTTGGGCTGCCTAGCTCACGTCCGCGACTCTCGCACGGACAAGCTTACCGCCCACACTTTCTCGTGTGTCTTCCTTGGTTTCCCGCTTAACGCTCCTGACTGGCACTTTTACCACCGCCGTCTCACCGTTTTCTCCACTCACGTGTCGTCAGCTTTGACGAGTCTGTCTCCTTCTACACCCGCTTCCCCTACCGAGGTCTCCCTATTACCCCGCCCCTATTCCTTGTCGCCACTCCCCCTGTAGCTCCCGCTCCCCTCCCTCCCCGTCCTGCTCCGTTTGGTGTGTCTCACGTCACCCCCCTTCCCTCGGTTGGCCCGTCGGAGGAGTCTGCTGGCTCTGGGGGCCCTGGGGCTCCTGGTGTACCGCCTGTTCTTGCGGTGCCTGCACGCCCGGCCCCGGTACCTCCACCGCCGGAGCAGCCGCCGCCGCAGCAGTAGTAGTCGTCGCCGTAGCAGTAGCAGCCGTCAAAGCAGCAGGGGCCGGTGGGCTCTGGGGGTGTTGGCGCTAGGGGTGCTGGTTCTGAGGAGGGTGCTAGTTCTGGGTGTGCTAGTCCTGGGGGTTTAGGGTCCTGGAGGTGCTAGCTTGGCGAGTACTGATGGTAGCCAGGGTGGGGCTGGAGGTCCTGGTGTGGGCATGGAGCAGCAGCAGTAGTAGTAACCATAGCAGCTGCAGCAGCAGCAAGTATCCGCCCTTCACCTCCTCAGTCTTCCGTCCGCCTCCCCCGACCGACAGCCCGCGCCCCCCCCAAGGCCACCCCCTCCTCCTATATATGTCCCCGTGTTCCCTCCGCAGGACTCGTCTCTGGCTCGTTTCCCTCCTCGTTCTCCTCCTTTCTCTCCTCCTTTGTCTCCTGACCCGACGCCTCCCTCCAACTTCTTGTCTTACACGTCTCGTGCTCCTCCCGTGCCTGTTCTCCCAACGCCTCCTCAGTCGTCCCTTGCTGCCTCCTCTCCTCCTCCCTCTGACCTCCTCTGTTATGCTCGCCCTCTTGTTCCTCGTATCCTAGCCTCTCTCGTTATCGACCCTTATGTTCCTGTCTCCAGTCTCTCCGCTCTTGTCGCTGACTTTGACTATGCCAATTTTCTGGTCTCCAACCCTGCCCGTCCTCTGTCTGCCGGGTGTGCATCCGCTCTTGGCAGTGACGTCCTAGAGGACAGGTCGTATGAGCTAGTTTTCCTTGCGGAGGTTGCTCCTCATCTCTGCTCCATGCTGCTAGCCCTTGAGAGTGACCCTGACGCTCTTGACATCCCGACCCCTCGCAACTACGCTGAGGCAAATACGGGACTCTGGGCCTCTTAGTGGATAGCTGCCATGGATGCAGAGATGGCATCTTGGAGATCCACCGGCACGCACGTCGACGTAGTTCTCCCACATAGGGCGAACGTAGTCGATGGCCTGTGGCTCTTCAACGTGAAGCGCCCGCCTGGAGAGCCGCCGGTGTTCAAGGCGCGCTATGTTGCTAGGGGCTTCAGTCAGCAAGAGGGGATGGACTTGTTCCAGACCTTCGTCCCTACCGCGAAGATGTCCACTCTTTAGGCGTTGCTTTACGTAGCAGCACAGCGGGCCTACGAACTCCACTCACGCGACTTCTCCACTGCATTCCTCTAGGGCCGCCTGCACAAGCAGATATACCTGCGTCGTCCGCCAGGCTTCACTGACTATTTCCCTCCAGGGGCCCGATGGTTCCTCCGACGCCTGGTCTACGGTCTGCGACAGGCGCCCCGTGAGTGGCACGACACGCTGCGTGCTACACTAGCAGACCTCCAGTTCTTTCCGTCCTCTGCTGACTCTCCTCTCTTCGTTCGCTTTGGCTAGACTTCATTCTACATCCTAGTCTACGTAGACTACATGGTTTTCACTAGTGCAGACAGTGACGCACTGGCCTCGGTATAGGCCGAGCTACTGAGGAGACACACCTGCACTGACCTAGGAGAGGTGCGCTGCTACCTCGGGCTGCAGATCTCCAGGGACAGAGCAGAGCGCATCATTACTCTCTCACAGTCACACTTGGTGCGCCAGGTCCTTCAGAGGTTCGGCCTTCAGCTCTCCTAAGCACAGCCCACCCCTCTGCCTATTGATCACAAGCTCTTGAGTCCAGTTCCTGACGAGCCAGTCGACCCTAGTGGTCAGTACGCAGAGCTCGTGAGCTGCCTCATATACCTGATGAACTGCACTCGCCCAGACCTTGCATACTCTCTCAGTATCCTCGCACGCTTTGTTGCGACTGGCAGCCACCAACCTCAGCACTGGTCGGCTGCCAAGAGGGTGTTGCAATATCTGGCGAGTACATTAGGCTAGTGCTCGGAGGACGCGGGCCCGTGGTTCTCACAGGACACACATACGCTTCGTGGGTGGATGATGCTGAGATGGTCAGGACCTCTCAGGGCTACTACTTTAGCCTTGGTGGAGGCGCCATCTTGTGGAGGTCCATCCGCTCGTCGTTTGTTGCACAGTCCAGCTGGGAGGCGGAGATCTACGCTGCTGTCATGATGGCACAGGAGCTCCGCTGGCTGACGTTCTTGTTCACTGACTTAGGTGAGCAGCCTACAGCTCAGCCCCGGTCCTGTACGCTGACAACAGGGCCATGATCCCTCTGTGTCAAGAGCCTCGACTAGAGGGCAAAGCAAAGCACATCCAGTTGCGGTACTTTCTCATGCTGGAGCTAGAGCAGCGCAGCCAGGCACGCGTAGTACACCTGGCCTCCGGTGCCAACACAGCTGATACTATATCTTTACTAAGGCACTTCCGCCTAAAGATCATCAGCGGCACAGTTTACAGCATGGCTGGTTCTAGTAGCTTCTCAGTTGCTAGCACCCTGACTTGTGTACTTTTTATTATGTGAGCTTGCCTGTCTATGCTTGCTGACTGGCCTTGTGGCTCTTGTCTCAAAGGCTGGACTAGTAGTGCCGCCCTCAGTTACTCCTGTTGAGTTAGTGCTCTTGTTAGTGCTCTTGTTAGTGCACTAGTAGTGTCGCCCTGAATTGCGTGTCTCTTGCTTGGCACTTCCCCTTATCTAGCCTAAGGGGGTGTGTCAACTTATACATATGTGATATATGTAGCAGTTATAGGCTAGATGGGTACATGCTGTTAGAGAGTACAACACCAAATCTTATAGCTCCCCTATATCCCATGCTTGAGTTCACTTTGCTATTCTGACACAATGGTCAAGCCGATCGTAGAATAGAAGAAGACGGACAATCGGTCCATCTCGCTGGATCCAAAGGATGGCGAAGATTTCCAGGCGATCGCAGCTGCTGTAGAAGCGAACTCTTTTGTTGTTTTGCTAGATAGTGGATATTTACATCATCTTATGGGCGATGGCAAGGCATTCGTCGAGATGCGCGAGGGCGGCGAAATCCAGCAAGTGCGCGGATTCAACAGCGCCATCCAAGCTGTTCAAGGACGTGGTACGATCGCTCTGCTCGGGGAGGCTGGAAAGAATATTATGGTTCCTCATTTACTCTACGTTCCGGGAATCTAAGCGAATCTGCTTTCTGCCGGACAACTGAAGGACTGCAGAGTGACGCTGAAGGACACTGGTGAGGATACGATCATGCTCTCTATGCACTGCTTATAGTTTGGTCTAGTTCCAGTAGCTCCTCACTTGCTAGGATCCTGATTTGTGTACTACTTCTTATATTATCTCGACTGGCCTTGTGACTCTTGTCTTAGTGGTAGGACTAGTAGTGCTGCCATGAGTTACTCTTGTTTAGTTTGTACTCTTGCTGACCGGTCTTCTGACCCCTGCCTTAAAGGTTGGACTAGAAGTGCCGCCCTGAGCTGCATGTCTCTTGCCAGGCACTGCCCCTTATCTAGCCTAGGGGTTGTGTCAACTTACTGTATACATTTGCTGTGCATGTATAGTCATAGGCTAGACAGGTTCGTGCTCATAGAGAGTACAACCGAAACCCTTATATCACCCTGTATGCTCTTGCTAGAGTTCAATCCATTACTCTGACACTGTCCACTACCTGATATAGTATAACTTCCATCCCCGCATTGCTCCAGTCCGTGTATAGTACGCACGGCTTGTCTTTCTGTGGTAGCTCTAACACTGCGCCTTCATGTACTTCCCTTAGCAAGTCCGTCACTGCTCACTTCTGCTCCTCCCCTCATTCCCACTTCTGATCCTCTCGCAGGAGCCTGTTTAGTGGTGTTGTACTCTTGGTGAAGTTGGGGAACCGCAGCAGGGCTCGTAGCGTGCTTTAGTCTTTTGGTGCCGCCACCCGGTCCAGCACCTGGTTTTCTGAATCCTCAGCTTGCCTTCGGTCACCTCAAATCCCAGGTAACTCACCGCATTGTCCCCAAAACGACACTTGCCATGGTGGCACATCATCCACACTGCTATTATCGCCATCAGCGTAACCTCCACATCCTCGCTCTCGACTGGACACAATGACGTCATCGATTCAGCATGCTGCAGCTGCCACTTCCCTCAGCGCCGCATCCATTATCATCTGGAAGACAGTTGACGCGTTCGTTAGACAAAACGACATAAAATTTATTTCATACAAGTTTGTTAAAATTATATAAGTTATAATTTAATATAGGCTTGGTAGGTTGTTACTGAACCTTTCTGTAGGGGGTACAAACCCCTCCTTGTACTCCCCTCTCTTCCTAATCCAACAACCCTTTCTTCTCGACATTCTCTCCCTTCCTAGATCCGTGTTTCCTCACGCCATTCCATGGCGGTCTTCTTCCTAGTATCCTAGCCAACCTAGCCTCCTAAGTTTAAGAACCTTTAGTCCTAAGTTTCTAAGATGGTATCAGAGCAGGAGATCCTCCCTGTTGGATCGCCTCCTCACGCTTCCGCAATTTACTCCTCACTCTCATTAGCTCGAGCGGCCATGGCGGCCGCGTTTTGCTGCAGTGGCGACGTCGCGCTGCCACTGGCCGCGTCGTGCCGCGACCGGCTCGACGCGCTGCCGTGGCGTCGGGCCGTCGTTCTGCAGTCGCAGCGTCGACGTCCCGCTGCGGCATCGACGCTGCCTCTGCCGTCGCGACGTCGACGTCCTGCTGCAGCGTCGACGGCGCCATCGGGCCGCAGCCGGTTGCGTCGACGCTTTGCCGTGGCAGCGTCACCTTGCTGCCATTGCAGCGTCGGCGTGCCGCCATAGCGTCGACGCCGCGCCCTGGCGGCGTCGTCATGCTGCCGCGGCAGCGTGGATGGGCGGCAGCGGGCAGCACGCCGTCGTAACCGCCACCTGCCCGCCCTCCTGCCAGTAAGCGCCGCGCCACTTATGGCGCGTCGCTGAAGACTCGCCTCGCCCCGCCCCCTCCCCTCCCCCCCCCACCTGCACCTGCTTCCCCTGCATCCCCCCCTTTCTTGCTGCAGCCGATGACTGCCATGTGAGGGACCTCTCCACCGCCGAGGAGACAGGACATGCCGCCGAGAGGGCGGGGGCCGCCGCACCAGCCTCTGTCGTTCGAGCCGCCGGCGCCGCCGCTGTTGCCGCAGGCCTGGAGCCGCCGCACACCGCCGCCGCCGCCGCCGTCGTCACTGTCGCTGCTGCCGCCATTGCCGTCTCAAGGGGCCGTGAGACCTACCCTCTTCCGGAGTCGTTGCGGCTCCTGCTGGGAATGGGGGTGCTGGGCTAGGGGGTGTGGGTGTGGGTGTGGGTGTGGGGGTGTGCGTGGGCTTGACACTACCAAGCCTAGGGGGTGTGTTAAAATTATATAAGTTATAATTTAATATAGGCTTGGTAGGTTGTTACTGAACCTTTCTGTAGGGGGTACAAACCCCTCCTTGTACTCCCCTCTCTTCCTAATCCAACAACCCTTTCTTCTCGACATTCTCTCCCTTCCTAGATCCGTGTTTCCTCACGCCATTCCATGGCGGTCTTCTTCCTAGTATCCTAGCCAACCTAGCCTCCTAAGTTTAAGAACCTTTAGTCCTAAGTTTCTAAGAAAGTTGTCTTCCCCGTGAAATTCTGTCTTTCGCTTGTCTTCTTCCGCTATCCGTATTTGGTTGAAGCCCTGCTTGAGGAGGGTGGAGAAGATGCGAGCGCTGTAGAACCGGTACATAAGTAGACAGCTAAAAAACAAGGTTACTAGTCACAACATTAAAACTTTGATTGAGTGGGGTATATATATTGTTGAGGGTCACCCATAGATAAAAAACGCGAGGCACTTGGTGTCCCAAAATACCCGCACTGAACTTGGAAAAACACCCCCGCGGGAGTCACGTTACCCCCATCTACACCCACGAAAACGCGACTTTCAAACACACTGCGCTTGAAGGCCGCGCCTCGTAATTTGGGCCGCGGGTTTTAATAGGCCAGATGCGTAGGTTCTATATTAGTACCTTCACTACAATAAGCTATAGTATACATTCCTGCACATAAAGCATCAGGCCTGTGTGACTTGGCGGCATTTGTGCATTCTAATTTCCAGCTAGGCGCCACTGTTTACTGCCACGCCAGCACGTCGTTGGTGACATGGCAGGTGAATGCCCCCGTTCACCAGTGCATTGCCAGTGCCTCCATTTCGACTTGTTCCCCCGTTCACCACTTCACCACTTCCCTTGGGCATTCCGCTTCACCACTTCATCTCTTCCCTTGCCACAATTCACTTCACCACGACCTCCCTCCTCCTCACCTGCCTTCCGCTAGGAACAAATGGCGCTCTCCCTCCGATCCTCCGTCTGTGCCCCAGCACACACAGCGATCGCTGCGCTCCCACGATCAACTGCGAGTGCGTCTCGCGTGGCGCTGGCTGACGGGGCACGGTCAAGGCCACGGCACAGGCCTATTTCGCTGGACGCGACGCCCGGGCTGTCGCGAGACGGCAGCGGCGCTGTGCAAGCGCGATCCGTGAGGGCCAGGGCTCGACGCGTGGAGGGGGCAGGCGAAGGTGGCGAGGAGGTCCTTGACGAGGACGTGCGCGTGGGACTGAACGAGGTATGCCCAGGGCTCCCTCAGTGCTGGCGGCCACAAGAATTGGCCGCTGCCGTTCATTGTGAGCGACAGAGTTGTGAGGGTGGGGTAGAGAAGGGGTAGGTGGAAACACGATAGGTGAGGGTGAGGAGGTGGAGGCAGAACAGGGGAGGGCAAAGTGGTTGGAGCGGGGAGTGGTCCATGGGGCTTGCCGGATTACGAGGGGGAGTTGGCACGATTGAGTGATGGCGCCGCACTGTCAGGTGGCGCGTCGGCAGGTGGATGTGTCCACGGTAGGTGAATAGGAAGCACTGCCTCGTGCCCCTCTGCAACCGCGTTGCTGCCTGCATGTCCGTGCTGTCTCTTTCTGTCTCCAACATCCTCCCTGCGCTCTGTCGCTTGCGTCGTGCCGTGCGTGCGTGCGTGCTTGCTGGTGTGTGTGAGTCTGTGGGTGTGGGTGGTCGTGGGGGTGGGGGTGGGGGTGGGGGTGTGGGCGCGTGTTGGAGTGCGTGCGCGTGAGCGCAGGTGTCGAACGAGGCGGTGCGCGCGATGCTATCGGAGGACATCCAGGCGGTGGGCGCCATGAAGCGCAAGGTGGACGAGGCGGGCGAGTACCTGGTGGCGGAGGGGCACATGGACGCCGCGCGCTTCATGCTCGTCGTCAAGGGCATGCTGGAGCACACGGTGCGAGGGGGTGCCGGGGATGCTGTGAGGGCACAGGTCAACACAGCACACATGAATGGGGCACGGCCAGAGGGGCACACCCGCCAAGGGTTGCTGCTGGTGGGGCTGGAGGAACGAGGAAGAATGCTTTGTGCCCGGGCAATGGCGTTGTGCAATGCATGAGCAGGTATTCTAACTTTTGCTGGTGTCGTTTTGCTCTCGCCCTCTGCTCTGTTTTGCCGTTGGTGCATGGGAGCAGCTGGTACCGGAGGTGGACGACTTGCAGGGGCCCTTCCGCACAGCCTACGACAAGATGGCCTCCGTCCTGGACGACTCAGGCTGGATGCTAGCGCCGCCCGGTCAAGAGGGTGGTCCTGATATGGTAAGGGGATTATGGGGAAACGAGCTGGGGATGATGTTGGTGCATGCGGGTGGTGGTGCATGCAGTGCTGGTGGTTGTGTATGCAGGTGGAATGGTCAGTGCATAGTACAGAGCAATTTTTTTCGAGTGGAGTATTGATCTGTCACTGGTTCAAGTGCGTTAGCACACGGATTGTGCGCATGAATGATCCATTGCCTTGTGCCCTCGCTGCCTGATGCAGGTTGATGATGAGCTGCTGCCTCCAGTGCTTCGCTCACCATACGTGTGAGCGATGCAGCTTGGTCCAAAACACCAAAATGACATCCAAGCAACATCTGCCCAATCATTTGGCAACAACCCTATCCGGAGTTCTCCATCAGGAAAACTAGACATGGAATATTGTGAATACCTAGTACTGTAAGAAGTAGGGACTGGTTGGCTGAGAAAGGTCCATTTTGGTCAGCTTCATTCATAATAACATCACTGGAGTGCAATGCTTTCTGTCCAATCTCCAGTGAGCTTAGCAACTAGGCATAGGACTAGCGAGAGGTTTAGCTAGGGTAGGAGGAAGTTGATGAGAGAAAAGAGGTGGACTGGAAGAGAACGAGATACAAGAGGGGGGGGGTGGTTGTCCCTGTCAGTTTATACATACATTTGCATGTAGAAGTTGCAGGCTAGAATAGGTGTGTGTTCTTAGAGAGTACAACCCAAACCCTATATCTCCCTTGTTCTCTCTTCTTTTTGTTCAATCTAGTATTCTAACATGGTATCATGAGTAGGTTAGGTCCACCCACCCGCTTCCGCCCCGCGCCCTAGCCTACCGCGCCTCGCCGGCCCTTATCACGCCTAGCCGGCCCCTCTTGCACCGTAGCCGGCCCCTCGCGCCGTTGCCGGCCCCTCGCGCCTCGCCGGCCCCTTCGCGCCTAGCCGGCCCCTCGCGCCGTAGCCAGCCCCTTGCGCCCTAGCCGGCCCCTTCATGCCTAGCCGCCCCCCCCCCCCCCTCGCGCCTTGCCGACCCCTTCGCGCCTTGCCGGCCCCTTCGCGCCTAGCCGGCCCCTCGCGCCGTAGCCGGCCCCTCGCGCCGTCGCAGGCCCCTCGCGCCGTCGCCAGCCCCTCGCACCTAGCCGGCCCCTCGCGCCTAGCCAGCCCCCCTTCGCGCCTAGCCGGCCCCTCGCGCCCTAGCCGGCCCCTCGCGCCTAGCCGGCCCCTTCGCGTCCAGCTGGCCCCTCTCGCGCTGTAACCGCCCCCCCGCGCCTAGCCGGCCCCTCGCGCTTAGCCGGCCCAGTCTCGCGCCGCCATCGATCACTCTCGACTAGCCAGCCCCCTCTCACCCAGCCGGCCCCTCGCACCTAGCCGGCCCCTACAGCATAGCCTGCCCCTCCTGCGCACCGCCGGCCATACGCGCCTTGCCGGCTCCTCTCTACGCGCCAGCCCCTTCCCGAACCTGCTCGGCCTCTCGCACGCCTGGCCGGCCCCTCGTGCGCATTGGCCCCTTGGGCACCAGCAGGCTCCTCGCGCGCCCATCGGCCCCCCTTGCGCCCTCCTCGGCCTTCCGCCCGGTCCCCGTTCCGGAGAGTTGTACCGCCACGTCGCTGTATCGCCGTACAGCTGAGGACCTATATCCTTGTGCCGCTGCGTCCCTGTGCCGATGTGTCCCGGTACCGCTGGGGTTGCGCGATGTCGAACGCCATGCTACGTCTCGATGCGGAGGGGCACGCGATCGACTTCACCGCCTGGCTTGTCGATCTTCGTCGGCACCTGACAGGTCAGCGCCAGGATGGGCACTCCGTGGCTATGCATGTTGATGGCTTGCTTCCCTGCCCCCCCGTGCCTGATCCCCTCCCTACTGACCCCACCACTGCTGAGAGTGAGGCCTTTGTTGCTGCTGCGCTCACTCGCGCTGTCTGGGATTCTCGCGATGCTGTAGCGCAGCTTGCCATTACTCATGCGCTTCCCCTATCTGAGCGCCCGCGTTTCACTGCTGTCGTGAAAGCCAAAGACTTCCTAGATGCAGTAGTTGCATGCTACTCCACGCCTGCCTCCGCCTCAGTTGGACGCTTGATCCTCCCCATGCTCTTCCCCGATCTCTCTGCTTTCCCCACTGTCGCTAATCTCGTCACTCACCTCCGTGCACTAGAGACTAGCTACCACGCTGCTAGCACTACTGCCCAGCTCACCGCCTTCCCCCCGCCGTTCTGCGCTACCCTGTACCTTATTGCCATGTGCCTACCTGACCGCTTAGCCACTCTGCCTATGACCACTTCCTTAGCCAGCACCCTGTTGACCTCACCCTGACTGCCTTTATCACTATCCTTTCTAAGATAGAGACTCGCCAGTGCATTATCGCCCAGTCGAGCGGTGTTGCAGCAGTCCCTATCTTTTAGGGCTGTGCTCCCTCCCAATGCACGTACGCTGACATTTCCGCTACGGTTGCTACGGCTGCTCCTGCCACTGAGACCGCCACGGCGGCCTTCTCGCAGCAGCAGCGACAGCATCGAGGCCGTCGCGGCCCCAAGGGAGGGCGTGGTGGTGGTGGTGGTGGTGGCGGCAACAGTCGTTACGACGAGGGGGCTGAGGCAGGTGTCCAGGAGCAGCAGCAGCCGTAGCAGATGCAGCAGCAGCAGTCGCAGCAGCAGCCCCAGCAGCCGTCGCAGCAGCAGCAGCCGTGGGCCCGCCTCCCGCTTGGGTGGCCGGGAGCACCTAGAGGTGGTGGCCGAGGTGGCGGTCCTCGAAGCTCGGTGTCTACCGACGGCTTCGGTGCTGTGAGCTGCCAGTACTAGCTACAGACCAGGCCCCTCTGTGGCACTGTGTGTCGCCGCCCGCTCCCGACCGCCCGCTGCTTCCGCCGCCTCGACGACCTCTTCCGTCGACGCTTCGGCCCGGCCCTCAACCTCCCTGACTTGCCCAGTCTGCTGCGCCACGGTGTGCCTATTTTTGACTTAGACATGGATCAGAATAGTTTTGCCTTGCATTCTCTGTATGCTGACGCTTCTAGTGTGTTCGGTTTTTTTTCTCCTGTGTTCTCTAGCCTAGGCATAGGACCTTTGTGTAGCACAGACACCCCTGCTGCGTCAGGCGTAGGACCATTTGCTTTGTCTAGCCTAGGCTCTACCCTTGCTCCTCCTTCATCCGCTGCTACCGCTTCGCTGTCCTTCACACTTGACTCCGGTGTGTCTGCCTGCTTCTTCCGCGACCACGCTGTGCTTACGCCGCCTACCGTGCCTGCCGCTGTCGCACTTGTTGACCCCTCCTTTGGTCCTGTAGTTGCTCGTAGCTACACTACCCTTCCCTGTCCAGCAGTTCCCTTGGCTTCCCTTACAGGCGTGCACATCCCCTCATTCTCCTGGAACTTAGTTGGTGTCGGCTGTCTTCAGGACCTCGACGTCACCACTACTTTCCCGGGTCACAAGCGTACGCCGTCTGTACCGAGGCCGCCTCAGGTTCCTCCCTTGCGACGTTCCCCCGGGACCTGGTGTCTGGCCTCTTTACGCTGGACACTGCTTCCCCCCCGGTTGGACCGTCCCCCCCAGGTCCTTCGTCTACCCGGGTCGCAGCTGCGTGCTCGTGTCGTATTCCTACGCCAGGGAAGAGGCCGTAGAAAGACGCTCTTAGAGCCTATTCCTACGGAGTGGTGTTCAGTACTAGAATAGGCATACGTGTTTCTAAACACCGTGATCGACAAAATTTACTGAGTCCAGTACCAACAACACCCACCTGCATGTTCGCACACAAGCCCAGTAATTGGCTGTGTGGTACAGTCACATTCGCAAATAGAACCACGCACGTCGCATGCATGCCGCGTGTCACTCTGTTTCGTGCCAGCGAAGTCGTAGTGCCACACATAAGCGAATGGAAATGTGCACAAACAAGATGCGACGGGCACTAAAACGAGCAAGACTTGCGAGGCGCAAAGTCCAGCGCAGATCATGATGCGCGCCAACGCCAGCTCAGCACGACCGTCTTCCCTTCCAACCTCCTCACGCACAACCACCACCACAGCAACGCACCCACACAGCAACACTCATAAAGCAGATAGCCCAACACCCTGCTTCGTTAGTCACAAGCCCACCTAGAGTAGCTAGAGAAGCCAGTGTACCTTCCGCCATGCCGCGTAAGCATAAAAATGCTGACGCAGACGTCACGATCAACCTCAACAACACCCCTTACGTGAAATGGGTTGACGAGGAGATCGACGCCGGTGCAGCGGGAAACCGCATACTGCGTCACATCTCGGCATCCAGCTCTGTAGCAACATAGGAGGCCCAGCTGAAACACGGCCAAGGCCGTGCCACGACACAACCCAAACTTCCGAGGGCCACTGTTAAGGCGCATAGCATCCCTAGCGTCACCGAGGACGACGCCAATGACGAGCCACCCGAAACGACGTGCGAGGAGCCTGAATACCCGTACGATGACACTAACGAAGAGGAGGAGGAGGAGGAAGAGGAGGTGCCACCTCCACCTCTGCCTGCGGTCCCTGTTGCGCGGCGTTACGCGAAAGGAGTGAACCCCGCTACGCCTCGCGGAGCTACCGGTGTCACCGCGACGAGTGACAGAGCCGCCGCCCCTACAAAACGCAAGATGTGGTCTCCAAAGGAGTCCACGCCACTGGCAGCTGGGCGCTGGTTTTTGCGGGAGGATCTCAAGGCGAGCGTCGGCAAGCAAGGGACCCAGTACTGGGACCGCCTTGCCGAGCACCTGCGCCAGACCAACCCTCCAACGCCCAAGAGCCCAGGCTTCGATCGAAGTGACGCAGTGTGCCGTGCGGAATGGCATCGTCTGCGTGTCTTGTGGGGTGACATTAAGAAGGGCGAGAGCGTCAGCGGTAACGCGGCAATACTCAAGCCGTCGTGGTACAAGTATGCGAATCTTCTCCTGAAGGACACGGCTCGCGTAACGCCCCACATGCTCGACCGAGGCGGAGCGGAGGAGGTGACAGCAGAGCCGACAATCCAAATCCCCGACATGAGTGCCAATCGCCCGCGTGCGACGCAACAGGCAACATGTATGTGCGTCGTTTGAATGAAGCAACAGAAGTTGTGTCTCCGTCATGCATTTTAATAAATACCAAGCAGAACAAAATAATTCCACATTGTACCCATACGACCGAAACACGCCCCGACTAATCCCCTTGCACTTCCCCTGCCTAAATTTCCCAGGTGCAAACGCAACAACGGGCACCCCTGCGATCCGCCACAGGATCCTACCCGCGGTGATGCACGCGGCACCACCATGTTCTGTGCTACTCTTCGAGAATGCCATGAGAATGGCATGCAGCGCTTAGAGGGCCTTTTCACGCGGTGGATGTCGGCCCATCGCGAAGGCATGGAGGACGCCCCGAGCTAGCCAGCAAGGCAGGCGACGAGCCTGACAGCACCGTACTCGGGTGGCGTTCGCGACTCCAACCCGAGCAGCATCGAGGCCCCTACTAGCGGCCCTATTATCGACGAAGATGACGCCGTGTCCCCCACGTCCGCCACGGCCTTCGGATGCACTGAAGGCACTATGGAGGAGGTGGAGGCATGGCACCGCAAGGACAACGCTTAAGGTGAGCGCCATGCAGTGCCAGCCCCAACCGCTTCCTCCTCTCCTGCAGTTCCCCCGCCGTTC